CCTGTTCCTCTTTGTCACTTCATTTACAATGTGGGAGTCATTTTAGAAAACCTTGTGTTGCTTGAAGAGTTGCCTATTTTAATGCAGCGTTTTTCTTTTAGAGCTTAATGTGGGGATAAAAATTCTAAATGGAACAAATGAAGCAAAACCCAAACCTAAAGCAAGCATTTGTGAAAAAAACAAATGTTTGACAATGGTGAAAATAAAAACAACAAAAATGGGATAAATTATTGGAAACTACAACAAACATACAGCATAAAAATTATTAATTTATTACAGATGAATTACCATCTCATATTAAAGATGCACATACAGCATAGATGGCAGCAACACTGAGGAAAAACATCAAGCTTGCCATATTAACAATTCAAAAATTCCCATAAATACAAACATATCAGACAATTCTGATAAAACACTAAATTCCCACCAATAAGGGTTTTTCAATTGCTTTCTGTCTTATAGCAATAAAATTGGTGGATGGGTAAATTTAAATATCAGATAATAGCTAAGAATCTGAAGTCTAACTGACCTTAATGAAAAAAGGTTTAACGTAAGGGTTAATTTTCCAGAATTGGTGAGATTAAATGATTAGGTTTGGCTTTACAGTTACTGACCATTCTTTCTTTTAATGTTAGCAATACTAGACTGCTTGTTTACATAAAACATTTGGACTCCTATTTTTTGCTTATTAAAATTCTGAGGCATCAAATTTCAAAAGGAAGGCATTTACAGGAACATTCTTTAACTAAAAAACTAACCCTTCACAAAGTGTTCAATGATATATACTGAACATGTTGCATTGAAATAATAATAATAAATAAATAAATGCCAAATCCATTATAAACATCTGGCTGATTGTGCAACCAGATATAATAATAATAATAAATTAAAATTTGTATACCACCTAATTCCCAGCAGCTCACAACAATCAATAAAGAAATTATTTAAAAAGTCAATAAAACAATCTAATAAAGCTATGTCAGACCAATTATTGTTTAGTTTAGAATATGATCAGATATTTTGTTTTTAAGAAATTCTAATAATTAAAAGGATTATTTAAGTGAAAAATCTGAGATCTGCCACCCTATAAGCTTTTGCTATTTGACAAGGCTCAGTTGTATTTAACAGATGATACCATATTGCATCCATCTTTCCAACTAAAACCTCTCTGCTTTATTATTCCCATTTTTTGAATATAACTTTCATTCTAACACATAACACTTTTTAGTTCAGCTACCTTAATTAATACAATAAATAAATAGACTTTACTTTATTAAACTTCAACACTGGAAAGCAATCCACCAGTAATTCTGCTTCGGAAACCCAGTTATTTTATCAAAAACCCATATTGTTTCATGTTTATGAATTCTTGAAATTAGTTTTTAAGGTAGCCGAGCAGATTTCAATAAATGTATTGGAATATAATTGTATAAGTAATGAACTATCTTAACAATCTTAACATATGAATCATATAAACATAAACTTTTACATGTTTATGTAACACATAAATCAATAAATGTTTTACATCCAACTGAGCAAGAGCAATGAATACATAGAAGCATCTTTTTTCCCTATGGATTGAGCAGAGTCAGATCTGAGCATGTGAAATTCTGTGCTGCGGGCCTAACAGGGAAGGTGAGACTGAATCCATTTCTGTCTACTACCATCTAGATAGATAGGTGCACTAATCCCAGTATTTGCAACTAAAAAAGCAAATGAACTAGAAGTTTCATATTTTCACTACTAAGGAGGATATATAGGACTATAATCTGTCTTCTCTTCTAATCCCAAACTTTCTATATGTAAATAATATTCAATAACATTCAGTGGATCGATCTTACTCAACTGCTTCAGCTATAAAGGTTTGCTTGTCTTTAGTAGCATTTTATCCTACATTAATAGAAAACTAAGAAACTAGGAAATTATTTACTTGTTTTCTGAGATTATCATTTTTATTTCCTAATGGTTAAAACCTCGTTCCATTTTCTCTTTATATCTGGTGAAAAATTCTTATTCAAGGTCTCGTTCGTATTTGCTGTAGGGAAAAACTACACTAACAGAAAACTGAGAAACCGCTCTTTTCAAAAGAGTTCTCACAGGTCAAAAGAAAAATACTTCCTTGAGTCTACAGGATAGCATTCTTATGAATAGGGAAATAAAGAATTGGAAAATATGCTACAAAAATATATGATTTTGACCGAGTATCTGCCGCTACAGAAACAAATGCTATAGAAAACCATGGCTCGCAAAAACACAAAAGAGCCCTGGCTCGCAGAATACATATAAAGTGCTTTAACTACCAATATTCAAACTCTGAATATGTGGAAATTTAAAAGCGTTTAATTCAGTGCCAAGCTTTCGTCGGTTAACTACCGACATCATCAGGGCTTAACGCCAGTCAATGGGAGTGTCCTTTATAGAGTTAGTCAATATCTGCGCCCGGTTTCTGGATCTCATCATCGGTCCTAGTTGATTGGGCTGCGTGTTAAGTGTATCCTTGCCATCAGTCAACGTTGCTGTTCCGTTACTTGCTCTCTTTCCTTCACCCTCCCCCTTTCTTGTGCGTGCGTTATTGTTGTCTATCTCCTCGCCACAGGCTCCTGAGTTCAGCGTATTCCTTCCCCCCCTTTTTTGGCCGTACGTTTCATCCGTGTTTTTCCGGTTATTTCCTCTCACCCCATTGGGCCGTGTGGTAGGTATTCCCCTCTCCTCTTTCCCCCCTATCCTCCTCATGTGTTCGTGGTCACGACCTGTGCATACTGTACATCACCTTCTACGGCTCCCACCCCCTTCTCTTCATCTCCGATGTTGTTTTTGTCCATATCGCCCCGATCGTCACATTGCAGCTCTTGTTGGAATCCGTTGCCTCCGCCTGGTATAGGACGTGCATACTCACTTTTCACGGGGGTATTGCTGCAGTGTGCGTTTGAGCCCATACGCTTCTTTCTCGTGGCCCTACGCATACATACCGGATTAGTTGGTGGAGTAGCCGTTCGTTCTTCCCCCCCTTTTTGGGGTTCGTTGTATAATTGGCATTGCAATCCTCATATGGCCCGTGGTGTCCTGAGTTGCCCTCTTCTCTTAAACGTGAGCGGGTTACCATTATGGGATTATCAATGCAATGCCCAATCGATCCCACTTCTCTGTTTCTGTATTTTGTTGGCACCACATGTGCACGAACGCCTTTAATGTCGTTCGTTAGGCAACTCGGAACCTCTGGTACAGGGGTTTCTTGCCAGTGTGTTCCAACTTTTGTTGCTTCGTTGGGGGGTGTTGTTGTTCCTTTTGGGTGTCTTGGGGGGGTCTCCTGCTATATTGGATTTTATTCCCCTGTTTGACAGCTCTCTTGCTCTTTTGGAGCATGTGCACATCCCCAGGGAGGGGGGTTTCGTTAGTTGTTGATTAACAGCCACTGTCTGGATGCCCATGGGTTGCAGTGGCATTTTTACCTCCCCTACAGTCCTATCCTTTTGATTTTGCGGCACATAGCTAGATTGTCTTCGTTGGGATGTATGGTTCTGTTTGTCCCATGTTCTCAATGCCTGATGCGCTGGGCAGAGTTCTACGTGCCGGTTGATCGAATTTTTGTCAGAGAGCCAAGCGTCTTTAAGTAGTCGGCCTCCTTTGGTGGTGTCACTGGATAGGGTGTGCACATCATTAAGTCGAACTGGTGGCCAATATCCGCCATATGAATCCACACTTGTGAGTGCTGCTCACCCCTTTTGATGGCTAACTTATGTTTGTGTATCCGGGTTTTCAATCTTTTGGAGGTCTCTCCAACATAATTGCTAGGGCAGTCTTTGCAGTTGATCTTATATATTACCGCGGATTTTTCTGCGTTGGGGAGTGGATCTTTGGAGTGACCCCAATGGGGTGAGGAAATAACCGGAAAAACACGGATGAAACATATGGCCAAAAAAGGGGGGAAAGGAATATGCTGAACTCAGGAGCCTATGGCGAGGAGATAGACAACAATAACGCACGCACAAGAAAGGGGGAGGGTGGAGGAAAGAGAGCAAGTAACGGATTAGCAACGTTGATTGATGTCAAGGATACACTTAACACGCAGCCCAATCAACTAGGACCAATGACGAGATCCAGAAGCCGGGCGCAGATACTGACTAACTCTATAAAGGACACTCCCATTGACTGGCGTTAAGCCCTGATGATGTCGGTAGTTAACCGACAAAAGCTTGGCACTGAATTAAACGCTTTTAGTTTAAATTTTTTCCTGGTGCTCGTGTTTGATTGTTTTTATAATATGACTATACCCAGGAATCGCATTAGTAATATATATATGTATGTATGTATGTATGTATGTATGTTATATATACTTTATATATGTTATATATACTTTATATAACCATACAAAGTACGTATGTATGTATGTATGTATGTGTGCGTGTGTATATATATATATATGTATGTATGTATGTATGTATATATGAACCTATTAGCATGTACTTTGCATTATGCAAACAGGATAGTTTTCATAATTACCCTAATGTGTTGCCAATGGCCATTATGGCTAATAAGGTTATACTGTATACCAAGCCAAAATATTTTATATATATATTTCATGATATTTGATCACTGCTATTGAACTATTTGGAAATTTTTGTTAGGAAAGCTGTTTCTTTAAAGGTTTCAATGTTTCTTCAACTGATGAAAGGTAACCACAGTGAGCCAGCAACAATATCCAAGCATAGATTCACAATTTTTTTCCATGTATGATTCCGCTTTAACAGAATACAGCAAATCACTTGATTCCTAAATTTATCTGTATTCCTAAACTACTGGCTGAAAGGAACAAGTGGAATGCGGTGATGTAAGCGAACCATGCTGGGGACGTCTGGAAAAGTCCCATGGAGCATGAGCAGCACAATTCTTGAGATACTGCATTTTACCCTAAATGCATTAATGTATCTGCCCCAAGCAATGTTTTAAAGAGAAGCCTCTGAATAGCAGTGGGCTGTGTAGGGAGAGGTGACACAGAAGGGTACAGAGCATGTCAGAACTGATTGTGGGGATCCTAAATGAACAGCGGGTCTCTGAAGGAAGCTTCCATTTTCCAGCCTATAATTCTGACCAAAAAAGAGTAAAAGCAGACTAAAACAGCCTTCTGGTCCTGGACTGGAGCCCTATTGTTGGGGGACTGCATACAAATGGATCTGGCATTTTTCAGTTTTCTTCACAGCTAAGGAAACTCTTTATTCAATATTTTGCTGAGAATTGCATCATAATAAGGACTGAAAACCAACTTGTTGTAGTCAACAAGGCGAATATACTTGATAGCAATCTCCTCCAGCTCTCTCTGAATTGGGCCCAATCCACCAAGTACAGGAGGAAGTGATTTCTGATGACCACAAGCAAGGTAATTCTCTAAAAACAACTGGATCCTTGAATCTTGAGAAAAGAAGAGAGTTAGTAAGACAACTTAAAAAGTCGTAATTTACCTTGTTAATTTATCTAGAGCCAAACTAAACTTATGTGTCAAATAAATTAAAGGATTCTGCTGCTTTCTGATTCAAGAAATCTACCCCAATAATAAATACTAAAAGTTCCTTCAGCATAATTGTCTTTCTACTCCAAACATCGCAATGCATCTTTGTATTCCAATTGCATCCAAAGATATAAAATATAAGGGGTCATATCCTGTTTTTTATATATCTGCAATTATCCTAGGATAAACCCCTTAATTTTTTAAAACCATTAGTTCGTTCACTTTGCTAAAAGAAATTGTTTATGAATATAAAAGAGATGGCCTATCACAAAGGTTATCCCAAATAATTTCCTTTTTTAAATAACATTTAACTTATGGCATGTGCTCAAATATGAATATGACTTGCAGACAATTATAAATTGCACAAAACTCATTTTATCTATAGCATGTACCTATCAGTTTGCATACAGCGTTGTCAGGATTGGCAAGAGCCTGGATTTGTCCTTTAAGCACAATCACTTTTTCAGGTGTAAACGGTGTGAAGCCATGCTGGGAAAGGCAACTGTTAACTTCAGCACAAATCTTTTCGCTTATGACAGCCAAAGTTTCACCCAAATTGAAGGAACTAAAGACAAAGGTTAGAAGAATTAAAGAATGATAAAACATATTACAGTAGAATAGCTCATATGAAAATTTAAAACTGATTCATCTGTCAGCAAAATCATAAGCCTTGCCCCAAAATAAAAACCAATAAAACCTTGAAGAAGAAAAGTGGCATTAGTAGAAACTGTCCCATCATTTTTGTGCTTTGTAAATATAATAGGAAATTAAATTCATAAAGAAATGACAGTGATGGAAAGTAGCATTTCCTATTCACACTGAGTTAATTATGATTTGGGGGGGGAAATCCAAACTTGCATTTTTCAGAATGCACATGTTGAGTTCATTGGCAGCTTTAGGTTAGCTGGCTGGCTGGGAACACAGAATCTATAGGCCAAATAGACCAACTTGGGCAAGGTTGATGTCAGCTGATTTTAAGCAGGTTCCTTATTCTAAGTTCAGAAACATCTACCAAGCGGTTTATAGAGAATAACATTCCCAATAATTGTAAGGCTTTTTATTATCGAGAAAAGCTGGGGAAAATATATGGATCCTTTCAAATAGGTAGGCCTAAGCTTCATGTCAATACCATTCAGCCTCATACCATAAGTGACCAAAATCTGCAAGGTACTCACGGAAGGTGTAGCCCTGTCAACAATACTTGGATAGCCATTTTGAGCTTGTTGGTAAAAGCTGGCAAATCAGAAAGAGCTGTGCCTGCTGCATTGAATGTGACCAGAAGAATAGCGCCAATCAGAATAAGCTGATCCAATTCCAGCTGCATTTCCTGGAAACGGCTTTGGTCCATTAACACAGTCTGCAAAAATATTTTCAGCACAGAAAATGGATCTAAGTTTGGAATATAAAGAATGACAAAGTGTGGTAAGCAAGAAATCTCACAGCCTAACGTAAGTGGGTTTATTCAGAGTTCTTAATACAGTTGACTTCCAAACTATTCTAGATAGTTTTCAGAGAAATAAGAAGAAAAGCAAATGTAAAATTACACAAGACCAAAAGATCAAAAGTTGTATAATTCCTTCTGATCAATTACTATTATATCTCAATTCAAGATACACTTCTCTATAATATCCCATTGAGTTTCTTCAATTAAAAATCATGAGAAAGTTGAACACTGCCAAGTTCACAGTATTATAAAAGATATTGGATTCCATCACTTATCCCGAGGTTGTAAATCTGCTGTAAATCATTTTGTGCAAAGTTCATATACCAATGAACAGAATGTTCCAGTTTTTAATTAGCTGATTAGTATGGAAACCAATATAGATAGCAATTTCTCATAAATCAAGACATGCTATGTGTATCAAAACAGAGCAATCAAAACAACTCGAGAATCATCCAAACTTAATTTATTTACAGCAATATCTGTGACTGATACAACTCATAAATTCTGGTTTTAACTTTAAAATCCTAGGTAGCTTGGGACCACAACCTCTGACCTAAATAATCTAGACCACATTACAAGAACTGATTCATGCAGTAAGCATTGTATCTGGTTAGGTGCATATGTCTAAGACAAAGTGTCATTTTGGTAATAGCTTGGATCAGAGGCAAAATGTCTTCAAGGAAAAACAAAGGAAGTCCAGTTGCCTCTTGTAAAAGCACCTTTGGGACAGCTCAAAACTGAATTCTCATTTGTCCCATTGTTGAGATCTTTGTCAGTGCTGCTTTGAACTGCACAAGTATTAGCAGCTTCTCAAATAATCAGTAAGCTTACTGATATTGCTATTAAATTATTCCATTGTCTCAGATACACTGTTTTTGTGAAGGTATAGCCTTTTTCTTAAAACTCCAAGAAACACAATAATAAAAAGGCAATTAATTCTCTGTGAAAATAAAGGATCCAGTATAAATGTCATCTATATGTAATTTCACATAGGTTTGCTCTCTAATGAGGATTAATAATTATTTTTTTCCCATGAAGATACATTTATTTATTAGATACATATGGAGCCTTATTTTTCATTTTTTTAAAAATAATTTTATTACAGATTTTAGAGCAGAATTCCCCAACCTTTTCGGCTTTGCGGACCGGAGGAGGGGAAGAGAGGAGGGTCCCCCATGAGTGGCTGGCAAGCGTGTGTGCGCAGCTCCAGTTGCGTCGAGTGATGGGCACGTACACTCGTGCAAGTGGGGACGCGCATGCATGCTTGCCTGCCGCTCTGGGCCCCGGTTCTGAATGGCTCACAGCCCAGTAGTGGGTCACAGCCCGGTGGTTGGGGACCCCTGTTTTAGAGCAATAAAAGATACAAATTAGAAGAAAAGAGAAAAAAATGCAAGAAAAAGAAGTGTAAAAAGAACTCCCAAGTGACTTCCCCCCCTCTTCAATGCAAGTATAAACAGTTCCATAACCTCTTTGCTGCCTCTTACCTAATAAATATAAAACTCTGCATCCAATAAACTATCTCTTAACAATAGTCAAGTCAAATATGTATTGTCTTCTTCAATCCAGTTACCAGCAAAAGATCCAAACAAAGCTCTAAAATGTTAATATTAATTAACATATATAATACTCAACATTCTACATATCAACTCTTAAGTGTAATACAATTTAATTTAAAAGGCTTTCAATGATCCCAATATCCTAATGTAAACACAAAGAAACTTTGAGTTTAATACGAATGAGATTTTTCTTTTCCTTTACAAAAGACAAGCTCCACTACACAACATTCTTGGATTAAATTCTTCATTGCCTTAACAGGAGGGGTTAAGAACAAGGCTGATTTAAAATCTGTCCTAAGATTCCACACAGTTGTTATCTAGACTTCAGAAATTACAGATATAGTTACTTCTGGAAAAGGTTTCTGCAGATGATTCCACTTGAGTAGTTGGATATATGCATGATTTTGTACAGCAACAGGACTCAGTGCAGGAACTTTACTGGCAGATGCAGCATCATTATTATTAGCACAGGCAACTTTGGACTGTAGATCAACCATGGCTTCTTGCAGCCACTCAGTCACAAAATCTAAGGAATCTATTTTAAAGAGAGAGAGAGGGAGAATAATTTTTTTTTCATCCAGTCATTATCCCACCAATTCATTGATTCATTTAAGATAAATGTATACTGCCTTTCCAGAGTCCAGTGATTTATAAAATAAATAATTGCAATATAGTTCAGTATACAAAAACCAGACCTAAATTTAAAGAATACATTTTCAAGCCTAAAAATAAAATGTTGGCTTTGTATCTTTGGAAGGTACTAACCAGGGCTCAATAACTAAGAAAGCCCACTTCTTAGTTTTTCCATATTGATTTCTGATGAGACAGATCCTTGAAAAAGGGAGTCAGAAGATAATTTAAAAGTCTGTGCTATTTGTATTTTCCAACATTCCGTCCAATTCATCTAATTTTTCTGGACTTTCAAATTAAAAGAATTTACTTGTTTAATCGGTTGGCTGTTGGGTTTGTTAAAACAAAAATATATGAACACGTATTCTAGATTATTATTGTTGTCATATTAACATCATCCATTGTCCCTAGAAGCTATACTTTTTAAACATTGTCCTACAGACCCAGTCAAGAATCCATACTATTCCCAGGTTGTTGAATACAGCCTGACTGATAAGGCAATCTAACATATTTTTCATCAGGATTGTAACCATTTATATGGACTAGTTCTAGTAAATTTCTCAAGTTAAATAGCTACAAACATTTTCAAGAATATATTGGGCTATTCATTAGTCCAAATGTTTAAGTGTAATTGAGAAAAAAACTACAAAGGATTCACATCAATTAAAGAACGTTAATTCTTCAGTCCATGTAAAATCTCAAACACTTTAAAAGGCTACTTTACTTGGATTAAGACTTGGAAGTGCTCCAACTGATGAGGTACTACATCAGAGATATAGTGCTCCAACTGGTTACTCTGCTGACCTTCAACAGTCTTCTGTGCATAAATGAGTACACATTTATGAGTACAGAAGGCATTATTCCCTGGAGCAAACAGCCCACCTTGAAGGTTTAATCAGGAAGTATGGAAGCAAAGTCCTTTGCTTTTCCATTTTAGACAAGCCTCACAAAGTAGATCACATCAATGACTAGAGTTGAAACAGATCCAGAAAGGAACAACATTTTTTTCTTGTGAAAGATCAAAGCAGAGTTTAAGTCATGGCAGCATGTCATTGTTTGGCAGAAGAGCTATAATTAAAATGACTACTTTTCCTAAAATGGAAGCCCTGCTTCAAACATTTCCAATGCCCTGAAGTGCTTTAATACCCTATGAAGAATTATTTATAAATAAATAATTATTTTAAAATCCGGTACAACTAGGAAACTATTTGGTATCAGTGGACTTTAAGGCATGTTAAACATATGACTATCATTTTTTTTAATTGGAACGCCTTACATTATTTGTAATTCAAAAAGAATTCAGTGGGTACAGGATGAGCTAATACTGGACTCTTATTCTGTCAGCAAAATATTCCTTCCTGATACTAAGAAATTAAACACTACTATCATAAATCCATGTTCAAAACTTCTTAGAAGCTTGGAAAAGGCAGAAACAGATTCAGGGCCTAGATTCTTCTGCTCTTCTCCAATTCATTACCATCTGAATTTTAAGTCCACAGATAAATACGGTCAAGGAATGAGAAACAGAAGATTTAATTAAAATGTGTATTGATGGGAACTGATTGTAAAGTCTAACTTTGTTTCATCTTTCCTCAAGCTCATGAGATTTTATCAGTCAAGAACATTAACAATGCTGGAAGAGTAAATTACATTTTATTTATTTAAAATCAAAGGAATATGTTTAATGTTATATAAAAACTATTTTCAAATACAACAAAATGTTTCTTCAAAACATGGGAAGGTGATGGTTTGAACCCGATTGGGTAGGCAGTCCTGTAACTACTAGGTGCTAAGCCAAAGGGCTTTATAAATGAAAGCTAATACTTTAAACTACTTTGAACCTCATCTACACTCAACCATTCTCTACAATAAGACTTGCACGCAAAACGTTTCATGGCTATGTCATACAGATGTTAATTACAAGGGGGAAATATCAATTCTCTGGTACCCTACCACGGGAACAATAGTGGGCCAATGTCTCTTTCCTTATTTCCACTGACTAGAACTGACTACTGAGTTAGACTTGAAATCACTAAAGAACAGTGCACCAATCCCAACCTCCATGAATGCTCAGGGAGGATAACAAGTCAATGGTATCAAAAAGAGTCAAGAAGGAACAAAATTGGTGCACTTTCCCATCAAGATCCCAACAAAAGTCACCAACTAGATCAATGCTGCCTCTATTCCATGCCCAGGACCATGATGGAAAAGTGTGAATTATCTACTTGATCTAGATTTTTCTGCAGCTAAATACTCATGTGCTTCAGAACCTTTCCCAACAACCTAAATCCCAAAAAATATTGATAATCTCTCAAATCCAGGTTATCACACACACCTAGCCCCAAACAGGAACCAGGAAGGGCTTAAATCAGGTCCACAAGTGGAAGGGGTCATATACAGCATTTATCATAAAATTGATAGGTGCCACCATTTCTTATTCCCATTTACTCATTTTCACCACTAAAACACTTGAATAATTATGGCTACCATTATTGTCCATTTTTTCCAGGGCACTTACAATGGTCCAACGCAAGAGATAAATTCCGCTTTGGGGAATAGTTGCCAGATTTACATAGCAAAGCCCATGAAATCGGGTGTAATTTTTTATTTGGAACTATGATATATAAAGATGTTGGAAATAGCATTGACTATGCAGGCATTTGGTAGTAGTTTTTAATTTGTTTTGATTTGCATCATTTTGGATGGGAGGGAAAACAGGGATCAGGGGCATATCTTATGGAGTTTTTTATTTAATATTCTTTTGATTACTGAACAGTTAAGTAAGTTGTTAAAATGAAACTGAATATTCATGCTGAACCCACTTCATAATTTCCATTTTATCATTTAGTAAAGGAGGGCAAGAAAAATCGTACTTGGCTGTTTTTCACACAGTTCCTGAAATTTCTTTCTTTCATATTCTACTGACTGCTGCATTAAATGTGGCCTAATGCTACTGACAGCAAAATTAGCCATATCCATTTTCATCAAATCCAACACAGAGAAAATTGCTCTGCAAAAAATAAGAAGACATTAAACTTTTCAAGATTTAGTCATACTTTTAAAAAAATAAAGCAAACTTTGAACAGTCAAGAAATCTGGGAACTAATCTGGGAAAAAGAGATTCAAACAATTCACAAAGAGCCCACTATTAAATTCATTCATAAATGAAGGTACGAGTTTTACTGAATTTGCAAGACTCTGCATGATAATTTCCCATTTCTTTACCTTAACCTCATAAATAAAACTGTGTGAATCTTTACTTTGTTGGGATCTGCTATAAGGGGCTTGAACTTTCAACTTAAAGAATTGGAAATACACATTACTGTGAAACATTACAAGAATTATCCTTAGCCAAAGAATAATCTTCCTTTATTATTCCAAATTTCTTCATTCCTAACATAACATCCCCAATAAAAAGCAAAGAGGAACATATATTCAAGTAGCCCATATAGCATTTAATGCCTATTAAAATGATGTGGCTGTTTAAGCCATTTTGAACTGAAGACTTATTCCTTTTTTTTCTTTTTCCCCTCTAGCACCTGAACAGGGGAACAATTTCATGGATGTCTTTCAACTTCTGAATTTCTTCATCTCTCGCTGGAGCGCAGAGTGTCCCCATCATTCCAATGATGAATTCTGCCAGCTTAGAAATGTCAAGGGCACCATTCTCAGCCTCCTGTTTTATCAGCTCCAGATCAAGAGCTTCAGTAATCTGATTTCTTAATCGAGTATGGCCAGGCAGCAAAAAAGACAAGAGAGCCTGAAAGAAAGTAATGTCCTTTTGGTTAGCTCCTAATACTAATTACACTGCTGTCATCACCATACAAAAATAAAAACCACTACAACAATATTACGTTACTATGAAAAGAGGTCATATAAAAATATAAGATCAAATGATAGGTTTCAAAGTTTTATTTATTGAAATTGGAAATTTCTCCAACTACATTCAAGATGCAGTTGAATATAGATTTTTGCTCCGTTGTTTTTTTAAAGCCTCTTTAACAGTTTAATTGGGAAAAATTGAAAAAAAGCAAATGAAACAAAGGTTAAGCAATTCTCTCTGTATGCCTTATGCTTTTTGCAACACTTTTCTCTCCCAATACCAAGCTACAAAGAAGCAAGGGACAGAATTTCAATATAGAAGGCAAAGGCTTTTCTAAAAGATTATAGCCACTGTACAGCCAAATTGGCATTGTAGAATGACTAGCGTAATGACTTAGTAGTATCAGATCATAAACCAGATAATTAGAAAATAAAAAGTTCTCGTAGACTTTAGAGCAATATATGGCAGGTCTTAAAGGAAGTAGACAGCAAAGCAACGAAAGGTATTTCAAAACTACAAATAAAGGATTTGCATCGCCCATTCATGTTTCCAAAACGCAAGAAAACAAATAGATCATGGCTTTAAAAAACTTTCTTTAATGGATCAAACCAGAGTTCATCTAACTCAGCATACCATACTCCAGTATTCCAAAAACTGCATTTATAAGTCAAAATGGGACACAAAGGCCCATTTTTACATCTTCATTTGGTAATCCATGTATAATACTCCATTGTTTTTGAATACCTTAGTACAGACATGTCAAACACAAGGAGGATGCGGCCAGCGAAGTGGTTTCATGTGGCCCACGAAGCCATCCTGGAAACAGTGAGGGAACGGCCCCCGCTGCCTTAGCCCTGGCCATCTTGGCACTTGCCCCGATGGACCATGCCTTGGCACTTGCCCCAGTCCCACTCCCTTCTGCCAGAGACCCTCAGATCTGTCCCACTCCTGCCCAGGCCCCCCATAGGCACCCTTGACGCGAATGATGTAGAACTGGCCACGCCCACCCAGTAGACCACACTCACTCCATTCACGCCCACCCATTAGGCTGCACCCACTCTGGCCACACTCACCCGGCCTCCCCAGGGCAACCGCAATGTTGATGCGGCCCTCAGTGAAATTGAGTTTGATACCACTGCCTTAGTACTTTAAGAGTACTAGCAACAATGTAAATGAGATCATTTGGAAGATAACACATATAAATTGTCCTTGTTTAATATTCAGCAACCATTTGAAGTTAACAATGGTACTGAACAAAGGGACTTATGACCAATCCTCAAATTTCTGTCCATCACAATGCCCCAGTCACATGAACAAAATTTGGACTTTCCACATTTATCACCATCTTCTGCCACCACTGCTATCCCCCACCCTGGCTGACTAGCTATTCAAAAAACTTTGGAGATCACTAGTTCTACAACTAAAGCTGCATATAGACTGCTGCTACTTCAGTTATTTTTAAATAATTAGATTTGCAGATAGACAAGAAACATTCAAAGTTTTGCAAATGACAAATCTTACCTCTTTAATTTCTCCTACAAGCTTAATTGCGTGATCATATGAAGGTGGGTTTTCTTTTAACTGTGTTTCCAAGCAATCCCAAAAAGCTTTGTGGACAATATCTCTTACTCTTTTTTCAAGACTGGTAAGCAAAATGAAGATAAATAAACTAAATCATTAACATTAATATAAAAATAATCAGCATATGGGACTTAGAAGAAAAGCAACTCTGATGTGCAGCTAACTGAGAAACACATTAAAGAAAGGCATGGGTAAATCTCTTGCCAACAAACTCACACAGATTATGTATTCAGGAGGAAATCACAATGGAAAAGAAAAAGGCAAGATAATTTCTTGCTACGCTCAGTGACTATGATGGCAGTAAGAGAAACTCAGGTTTTATCACTCATTCATATATATGAAAGGGAATGGCTACCAGAGAGGCTGAAGAGCTCCAATTAACCCAGGTTTCGAAAGCTCCATGTATAATGTACAAAACAAGCCCCCATAAGAGTTGTTTGCCTTTATCCTATGTTTGTCTCTATATGGAATTCCATTTTTAAAAAATATATGACCTTTTCACTGTTGCTGGCAGTTGCTAAAACAATAAAATGTGCTATGAAAAGAAATAATGGAATGCTTGGCCTGGTTTGGGAGACAGCACTCTGGAAGATACCACCTATAAAGAAAGAGTGGCACAACTTGGAATACATGATTTTAAGGATTTTTATTTTTCTACATTAAAACATCCATGATAACTATTCTTCCTTCTGCAAAGCAATCAACACTTGGGCATGACTTGCCCAATTCTTATTGTGTTTTAATAACTGATACAATACTTGTGTTGCTCTTTTACTGTACATTGTGTACTTCATATTGTATTTTTGCAGTTGCATTTAAAAAAATGAATAATTATGTCCTAATATATTTTCTTTCGGTCTTAAAGTTTCCATGGGTATTCTTCCATAAAAGAAAAATATGTTCTCTTTAAGACTGAGTCTAATGGAGTGTAGAACATTTCTGAAAAAACTCCACAACATTGGTCTGAGCATGTTGCAAATCTATTTCTTAACGGCAGTAGTGACTTCACTTTTGGAGCCACTGGTCATGCTTCTTTTCCTTTAAGATTATGAATCACAGCCCAGCTCTAGAATTTTTTCAGCCCACAACAGGCCTCTTACCTGTTTTCTGGCAAGTCGGCAGGCTTAATCTGAAAACCTCCATTGACAACAATCTCATGGGCCAAGGCCATGTTTGTAACACCTTTTGCTGTATCCATCAGTTCCTCCACGGACACAAACTGAGGAGGGCTAGCTGTGGACCAAGGAAATATGCTTCAGCAAAGTGTATCCTGCTAGTTGAAAAATATTCAACATACAATCTGACCATTTCAATCAAGCTATACAGTACCTGAAGCTGTAATATAATCGTGCATTATACATGTACCCATCACGCTATTCTCTTTCAAAATAAAGAATCCTTATGCAAGGTGAAGAAGAGAACTAAGAAATATTATGTAAAATTTTTCTTTTTTATTAACTGATATAATTTATCCCAATCTTGTTATCATTCATACTAGTCAACACATTTCTGTTTTACAAGTCATCCTAGCTTTTAATCACATCTACATAGTAATTCATTGTCTTTTGTTCTTTAAATTTCTCACTACTCTGGTTTTTAAGGGTGCTATAAGCTCCACATACAATGTTCTTGGTCTTCTTTTTCTTCTCATCCCACTCACTCTTTCTTCATATATTTGTTGTACAATTTGATCTTCATTCACTCTTTATATATGATCAAATTATTTCAGATCTGGCCTTCACATTGTTGCCAGACATAAAGCCACTTGATGCTGCTCAAATTTTGCTCATTTGCTCAATCGGAATTTTGACAAGAATCTTCCTAAACATATTTACCTTACTAATGCATAATCTTTTGTATGAGGAAACAATATAAGCAATCTTCTAGTCATCATGCAGATACAACCTTCACATATGTTAAAAAAACTGCACTGCCATTCATAAACAAAGCACAGCCAATGTTCAAAGTTTTATCAGTTACAGCAGCTATACCAGCATCCTTATCATTTTTCAGCATTCTCACAGTACTTAAATTATTTTTCATTTTTTTTTTCTTGGACACTAACTTTTATAGTTACTTTCAATTTCACTCTCTGACATATCATTATCATTCCCATTCAAATCTCTAATTTTTTTCACTTTACTTTCAACTCAGATTATTTTATCACTTTTATTCTTAATTTATTCATTCTGCTGAAGGCCCCATCTCTAGCCTTTTTCACTTACTTCTAAAACAAGTTTCTTATTCACATCCAAATCAATTCATTTTCTCAGCCTCATTTATTGTTTCTTCTAATACTCTTTGCAACCATTTTATGTGTATGCATTAACCATAATGCACAAATATTGTGCATAGCACACAAATATAAATTCAGAAATCTTTTTACAACCTCATTTTAATATAATTCTTTTATTATCCAGCTACCTCTTATTATCTAATTACTTGCCTGTCTGCTTGCCCGCCTGCCTGCCAAATTCCCCACGTTTCTATGGCACTCTGTCAAATAATTATTTTCATGCTGTTATAAGCGGCTTGAATATCATCCTTTTTTTTTTACTTTTCATTCACTGGGAGATTCATCTATTTTTTGATTCAGGACTCATACTTTCTGTTCTTATAGTCATTTTATTTTCATTCTCATTCCTTTCTTTACCTTCCTATTCTCTCTTCTCTGTTTTCACCCCAAACCAATTCTTGATATTACCAGATAAGGATCTGTCCTCTGTTCTAAGCCTCTTGTCAACTTCTCTCAATGCAATTCTCTTATAGTTTTAGATTTTGATAGGGAGTGAAATGATGAGGATGAAGCCACATGGGGAGAAAAGATGGGCTCAATGAGCAATCACCCAACCACTGCTTTATCAATATTTACTTCATATTTATTTATATTCCACCTTTATATAACTCAAGGCAGCAAACATATCTACTGTAGTGGCCAAAATTGTGAAAACCTTTTGGGAAAATTATATTTTTGAGGTTCGATGGCTAATAACACCACTTTTTTTGGGAGTAGTACCATAAAATTATATATCAATGGAAAGATAATTTAATCAAGAATGTAATGCAACAAAGTTTGTTCAATTAACTATACTATATTCTATGAAAAGTTATAGCCAAATAACCAGAAAAAGGAAGCACAACTTGCTTAGGTTGATATTAGGTAGCTTTCCTTCATCTGATTGTAGCCAATGAGCATGAGTGTTTAGAGAGCCAGTCAGGTGTCATCTTGTTTTGGCAATGAGCCAATCAGATCACAGTAGGATTCAGTTATTGATGTCATGTATTGAAGCTGAGAGGAGGACATTTGTCAGTGTGTTATGTGATTGCTATCAAGTTGGTTGGGTTTTTTTGTGTTCTTTCATTTAGTGAACTTGTAAAACTTAACAAAATTAAAGTAATGGTGCAAAGAGTTCACTTGTCGCCCAGAAAGCGATGTAAAATAATATTATTAAGTGAACAAGGCTACAGTTATAAAGAAATTAGAAGAAAAATTGGTGGGAACTTAACCAAAGGTGGCATTTCTACTGTACACTTTTCCCAAAAGGCTTCCACAATTTTGGCCACTACTGCAACATATCTTCCTCCTTCTATTTTTCCTAAAATAGCAATCCTGTGAGGTAAGTTGGGCTGAGAAAGAGTGACTTGCCTAAAGTCACCCAATACAGGAACTAATGGTGGTATACAAAACTAATGAATAAATTATAGACATTAATTAACAAACACAGCTGAATCCAGCAATTTAAGTACAGCCTAAAATGTTTTATGTTACAATTCCTAAGAATCGATCATGTTGTACAGTTATCAGGACCAATATTTTGGGTATTAGAAGGAAAATACAATCCAACTACAGTATGCTAAGCATAAGGAAATCTTTATAAAGAGCCGTGGTGGCACAGTGTTTGGAATGCAGTATTGCAGGCTGATTCTGCCCACTGCCAGGAGTTTGATCCTGAGCGGCTCAAGGTTGACTCATCCTTCCATCCTTCCGAGGACAGTAAAATGAGGACCCAGATTGTTGGGGGGGAATATACTGACATTGTAAACCACTGTAAAGCACTGTGGAGTAGTATATAAGTCTAAGTGCTATTGCTATTAATACCAGGAAGCCTTTAATTATGATGTTGACATAATTCTAACAGGATTCAATTCAAATTTTCCATACTCAGTCTCTTTTCATCTCTTTTCTAAGAAAACATGGTCACAAAAAAGATAACTGTGACACATCTAAAAATGAAGGTCTGCCCCAAAGGAAAGGAAATTGAAATGTTGGATAAAGAAATTATATTATTATGGTTGGTTGCACATTCAGCCAGGTGTTTGGACTGGATTTGGCATTTTTATCAATGTATTGATTATCATTATTATTTTCATTATCATATCCATACTATGGATAAGAGATAGTTAGTGGCAAACAGAGATCAAGGATAAACAAAGGGCCATCTGTGCAGGATGAAACAGAAATGCAAAATAGAATCTGCATTTAGTTCTTAATTCAAAAAATGTCCCAGACTGGAAGACTGAAGATTGGGAAGTTTTATGTTAGCCAGACATTAACTTGCTAATTAGTTTGTTTTTCAACATTTATTGGGACACGGTACAGTATCGTAGTGAAGGTTTTAATGTATACATAATACATATTTATTTAATATGTGTTTAGTTTAGTTAATTTATGATCAAGACCAAAATATCAAACACAATGTGGTCAGAAAAAAACAAAAGGAAACACCTTCCGCAGGAAATTAATAATATTATCAACCATCAAGGCAGAGATAAATCTGACCGTAGGTGCTGCTAAAATTAATCTCAAAGCTGTTGTATAACAATTATAATCAAACAATGATAGCAAACCCTATACATTTCTGCAGGCATTTTTTAATTCTAACCAAACCAAGCAAGAAATTAGTAGGAACAGAATTTATTCAGAGCACAGTGGCTGATTAAGTGGGCAGTGCAACAGAATGTCCAAGAGTATTTTGATCATCCTGTTTGGGCAAGGGCCCAGGGGACTTGTGGTGGCATACTGCTGAATCTTCCTTCCTGGAACATAAATGGTAAGGCATTTAATCTGACTAATGAAAAGATTCTTCTATAGAGAAATTAGGTAAAGAAAAAGGTCTCACCATTGCAGAAAAGAGGCTTTGCCCCAATCCCTATACAGGTAATTTTCTTGGAAAACACATTAATAGTGAGCAGTTTCTGAGATTTTTTGAGGTGAGGGTAATGTTCCATTTATCAGAAGAAGGATACATAGATGTGCAGATCAAAAGGAAACCTGCGGGACAATTGTTTTGCTCATTATAAAAAGTATTCTATTGGAATAATTTTGCTTACCCTCAGATATACTACTTCTACTAGGACTTGGTGTGTTCTGACGAATCTTCTTTCGGACGCACTGCTCTGCATTGTCCACATGGTCCTGTTGATTATCCTGTGACACATCTGATTTTCCCTCAGTTACATTTGGTATGTTTGGATCCTGAGACATCCTCAATTTTGGTAGCTGAGAAAGATGGAATTAAACATCCATATAATTTTATCACTGCTGTCAAATTCTACACTAAACCATTATTCAATACAAATTTGTGTCTACTTGTTAAAGGCAGCATATTAAATAACACCCTAAGCAGTTATAATAATCATAATTTTTTTAAAATCAGTGTGATATATTTGATTCAGCAGATTAAGAATTACATGTATGGAGTGTACTCATTTAACAAGCATACTCACACACAAATTGGATGAAGTGTTTTGTTGGTGAACAACAAAATCCTAGGATTACTTTCAGATTAAACTAACAACCATAGGTAGACACAGTGGGAAAGAAGAGCATTGCACAAGATCTTTGTGTTTGTTTATAGTTTTTTTAAATTCTATTTTTCGTTTTGGGATAGGAAACCTTAAATACGGTACCACCTTATTTTGAGATAAATGTAGTATCTAAGACATCAAGTGATAAAATAAGCAACATTCATCAATCAATGAATTTATGCCATACTGAAGTAGTATTCTATGAAGTAAATGTTCTGAAGATCAAACAAACCAGAGAATTAACATCAAAGCTGAATGCCATATATCATTGGCTATGGACCAAATTGATTCCAATTAAACTAGAACAATATATTACGCAATATCATTTCTCATCCTTGCAAGAGGAAATCCTGCTAGGCCTTGTCTCAGTCTTTTGATTAAATATTCATCTAGTTATCCAAAACATAAATAATTACAATCTCTCTGAGTGCACTGACTGCTAATGGAAAGACAAAATCTTTTTTGCAAGGCACCGACTTCTGAGCAGAGTGTGAAGAACAATGTTTTTGTCGTATTCTTGCCCGGCACAGAATGAAACAAAACTCATCGCTTGCTCCATTTCCATGCTGGCTAGTGGGACAGCATCCTGCTTTGTGTGAAAATTACAAACCAAGAGATCTGATGCTAAGTGAAAAGGGATGGTCATATGACCAACCTATTGTGCTTTTTTTATTCTAGAAGAATAGCTGGCATGGCTATACACATAACATAGAGACATACTGTCCAGCAACAGACAAACAGATATATATCTCTGCCACCAGAGAAAAGCAGATAAGCTGTCTTTGTGGATACTGAGTGCCAAGCAGGCCAGTGAAATACTATATTTGTCTATACATTGTTTACTTGTTTTATTGTAAGCTGTCCCGAGTCACGTATGTAAGATGGACAGCTATATTAATTTAATAGCAAATAAATAAAACTTCCACCAATCTATTCGATTTCTTGTTTACAGTTACTGTTTATTTTTACTGTTTTATATTCAAAAGTGACTGGCAAAGGAAGGATAGACTGTCAATCTTTTCTACTCCATAATGATGATTGAACTGATGTATATTTCTATTTGCACATAGAGTTGTCAACATTTTAAGCTTAAAAGTTGTCTATTATGAAATCCAAAGTATATTTAGGTTTTTGTGCATATCAAACACATATTGGAAAATTACTTCCTATCTTCAAAATACTGATGTTTCAAAATACATTCCTTCTCTGAGTGACTATTAGCACGTGTTTTGTTTACAATATTAGAGTCTCCTATAGCTATAGGTAAAGACAAAATAATCAAAACAAACATACCAACTCACTGCAGATCCTGGCACAATGCAGCAATTGAAAAGGAATAGATGGTAAAATGTAATCCCTTAAACATTCTAACCATGACAGAGGTACAGAAAAAGAAAAATCTAACCTCATAGTACATTAAAAAAAACAATGAAAATAGACAGAATGTAAATAGCTTTTCCTATAACAATTTACTGTACTTTCAGAAATACAGAGGAATGTTAAATGTTAAATTCATATAATAAAGGTTATATATGAACCTACTTTTTCATGTTAGGAAACTGCAGAAACTTTTGAACTTCAGTATATGATTTGCACATAACAATCAATACAAATGCATTTTGTCACATATATATGGGCAACATGTCTTGTATAAAATGGTTTGTTGTTCAATCTCAAAATCAAATCTGAACCCATGTTTTAGTTCTAATTTTCTTCTGAGAAGCTTATATTTTTACAATAAGGAAGTCCCTTATTCTAAACAGACAACAGGAGAAAATCTCTTGCAAGGTAAATTTAGACTTTTTAACAAATTACTCATATATGCTGAAATACAAACGTTAAGATACAGTGTTTTAAAAACTGGAGGTTAAAAATAATCTAGCTCAAAATCTTTGTCCTATTTTAGTTCATTGTTTCAAAGATAAATTAGTCTTGTCAAAAGAAATAGTCTTTTATAATCCAGAAAGCAACGTCCCTCTAGCAAGCAGACATAAATCAAGTGAATGATACTTCATAGAATCTTCTGCATAGATAGTGGTCAACTGTATATCATCAACAAAATATTAAAACTGATAAAGTTTTTTATTAATAAAATAAAATTTAATTTAAAAAATGACCTTTATTTCTACAATCAGCATCTGAATAAAAGTCAGATTACTGAAATCAATTTTCTATATCACTCCAGTTCTGTTTGCTATATAAATAAACACTTACTTTTCACTTTAACGTCCTTGTAATAAGATATGAATATTTATAGGAAAAAAGATTATTTCAAGCCAGCAAAACCAAACAGGACCAAGAGTTCTGTAAGACAAACATGATGGAATTACATTTTTTTTAAAAAAAAAAAAAGACAAGCAAAGATTGAAGCTGAAAGTATATATATAACAAACCTTGTTTCTCACAAATAGAGAATGCTAGACTTACTATAATGATTTGTAGGGATTTAAGACAGAAGCCACCAGCACTTTCTCTCAATGATTGCCTTTTTCCCCTAATCATCCCACAAAACTGATTACCAAAATGAATTATTAAAATGAATAAGAAGCAATGGCTGGCAACTAATCAAGGAGAGAAATAAGGAGAAATTTCCTGTCAGTTTGAACAATTAATCAGTGGACTGGCTTGCCTTCAGAAGTTGTGGATGCTCCACCACTTAAAATTTTTAAGAAGAGATTAAACAACCATTTGTCTAAGATGGGATAAGGCTTCCTGCTTGGGCAGGGGGTTGGACTATTAGAGCAGGGCTTTTCAACCACTGCCTTAGACATAGAAGCCAACTAGGTCAGGGCTTTTCAACCAGTGGTACGGGTACCACCTGTGGTACATTGGCACCTGGCAGATGGTACGCAAGCATCCTAGAAAATTGGTAGGGGAGGAGGGGAATGAGCTGAACCGGTGGCAGCACCGCACAAGCCTGAGTGAGAGATGGCTGGAGCTGCAGGGCTGTCAGGGCTCAGTGGAAGCACCAGGATCAGCACCAGGCTCCAGCTGGAGCTCGGCGCTGATCCTGGCGCTTCTGCTGAGCCCAGAAGAAGCGCCAATCAGCTGGAATGTTGCAGCATCTCCAGGGTCTTGTGATTTACATTCAGATGCTTGGCAACTGATTCATATTTATGACGGTCACAGTGTCCCAGGGTCTTGTGAATTGACCAAAACCTGCTGCAGCCACCCACAGACGGGGGGGGAGAATAAAAACCAAACACCCCCCCACCCCACCCCCGCTGCCAATCCTCAACAGAAATGCTCACAACAATGAAAACCTCAGACAGGAGGAAGAGTGCCGCCGGGCGGGCAGGCGTCTTGCTCGGCTGTGGCTTGGGGGGCACTTTTTTCAGTGCTATTGTAACTTCGAACAGTCACTAAGCGAACTGTTATAAGTCGAGGACTGCCTGTACTTTATCACTTTTTTCCTTTTTTTTTTTTTTGGTCATCAAGTTTTTGACACCTTGCTAGGCGACTGGTGGTACTTGGATATTGCCATATCCTAAAAGTGGTACAATGGGTGAAAAAGTTGAAAAGCCCTGTATTAGAGACACCAAGGTCCCTTCCAACTCTGTTATTCTGTTCTGTTATCAAAAATGATTATGCAGATCTGATTTGGGGGATTTTACAAGATAAATATCCAGGAAACATATTCCAAATCATCTTACCTAATTATAAAACAATGTTTCCATAAAATTTGGCTTAAGGCTCTTACCCAAAAGAAGTCTGATTCTTGAGATTGTTTGATGCTAAATAGATCTGAAAGAACATTTATAAATACTCTTATATGCAATTACAGTAACCAACATACAAACCCAGATCAATTTTTCATTTGAAATCAGATTTATCCTCATGGAAAGGTCAAAAAATAATTATGTCAGCCATAATTGCATGATATAACCCCACCTTTTTACATGGCCATACATACAACATGCGTAAAAAGGAGTAGGGTTTATAGTTGTCATACTGAACTGACATTTTAATTTAAAAAAAAAACTTTCAATAAATTTTTATTGAAATTTTTCCTCCTTTTTATCCAACATTCTTCCTTGCCTATACCAAGCCTTAATCTAAGTCACAACAACACATATATATCTATCTTCAGAACCTTTCTCAGTGTCAGAGTCACACAAAAAATATGAAAATATTCTATCTTCTCATCAGAGTTGCCGATGCTGATTTCCCACTCCCTATCTAGGTTTGTAGATTTTTTTATTTTAATATTTAATGAACTTTTAAGTTTTTCTATACCAGGGGTAAGCAACCTTGGCTCTTTTATGACTCGTGGACTTCAACTCCCAGAATTCCTGAGCCAGCCATGCTGGCACAGGAATTCTGGGAGTTGAAGTCCACGAGTCATAAAAGAGTCAAGGTTGCCTACCCCTGTTCTATACATTACATTATATTGTATGGATTAAATAGGTAAAAATAACTTAAAACTGATTGTATTTGTTATCGTGTGTGTGTGTGTGTGTGTGTAAAATCTGGGTTTATTTGAGGGTGAAATCTTGGTTGTTTTAGGAAACCTTGCTGACCATGGGTAAATTAACAGGTAAAAATAATTCAATTTAAAACTGATGTATTATGTTTGCTGTTATTTGGGGGGTTTGCGTAGAATCTGGGCTAGAGTGTGAAATCTTGGTTTCTTTTTTAAAAGAACTTCACTGGCAACCCTGTTTCTCATTTGTTCTTTCACGAGCCCAAGAATTAAGGTACACAAGAACTGGAGATAAAGAAGCAACATTTGAAATCTTTTCATTCTTGTATCCAAGGTTGTCCAACCTCAACCTATTCCAGGTAAAATTCCTCCTCCTTTGTTCCAGAGTATTGGCTCAGCCCAAATAGTGGGAAGCTGTAGAAAAGGAGCAGGAAGGGAAACTTCCACTGCTGTCAATACACATACCCTTACCATTCATCCAACAGCACCTAAAAGAGTAAAGACTTCCATTGAGTATCCCGGAAAAGGCCCCACTGAATTCAACTAAGTTCGTATGGGAGCTGGTATTTCCCATTTGTTCGTAAAACAAACCCAAGTAATATGCGTGCTACCCTTTCTTTAGCATTTCCAAACACGACGCCAGGTTCCTACTCCTCCCAGGCGTAACCCTGCAGCTGGATAAAACGCTCCATCTTCTCCAGTTAAGACGCGGGCGGCGGGCTTTCCTCTAACGCAGGGTTTCTCAACCTTGACAAGTTTAAGGCATGTGGACTTCAACTCCCAGAATTCCACAGCCAGCATTGCTGGCTGTGGAATTCTGGGAGTTGAAGTCCACATGCCTTAAAATTGTCAAGGTTGAGAAACACTGCGTAACGTAACAGTTATTTTTCTTCCAAGGCCAAGGCTGGGAGCCGGGGGGGAGGGAGGAGAACCAGGGGCGTCTGAAAGAAGCCCTTGACCACCGCGCTGCAGCGACTGGCGAATAAATCGTTCTTCTCGCCATCTCTGCTGCAGCGACGGGATTTTTTTTTTTTATTTAGGGTACCGTTTAGCTGCGGCCTCGAAGGGGCTTACAACCCCGGCTAAAGCCCACCGTTGAATCTGACGCTGCTCCCAAATAGCCAGGAGGCCTTTCCGCTTCCCAAAGCCACACGCCCCCTACTCCTACATAGCCCATTTAGTACCGAGAGGGAAAGGACCCCCAGGCCGAAGTCTCTCTCTTTCCACCCAGCCCCGGCGGCTTGCTTACCTGCGCGGGCGGCGTCGCCGGAGGGAACTTTCCGCCCCCGCTGCGAAACCGCTTCCCAAACGAGGCGGGATGGAGAGCGGAAAGCCGAGGCAGGGCGCGGCGCCGGCAGCGCAGTACCAACAGCAGCCACACGGGAGGCCAGCCGCGGAGCTTCTTCGCGGCTCTCCTCACGGCCAACCAGGGGTCTGCAGCGGGCGGAAGGGGCTGTCAGTCCGCCGCAGAGCGCTGCCATGTTAGCGCCCCGCCGAGGGGAGAGCAAGGCCGAGGCGCGCGCGCGCGTAGTCCTGATGGGCAATGGCAAGGCGGCAAAAAGTGCCAGTCCGCGGACGGCGTTGCTCTCAGACGGGGCGAGGAGAGAAGGTCTTTCTCTGCAGAGCTGTCGAGACGAGATCGGCCCGGCTCTATCCCCCGGAGCCGATTCCAGCAGACCCGGGCTCAGCACCCAGTTCCGTCCTCCTGTGGCGGGGAGATATGCGTCGCAAGCCAAACGACAATCCCACCTCCCCAAAGCCCTGGGAACGAGAGCGTAGCCCCTTTACGAAAACCTTTTTTGTAGAAATTAAGCCACTGATTTTTTTTTTCCCCAGCCCAGTACTTTTGATTTTAAAATCGGGAGAAGAGGGGGAAAATACTGCTAGTAATGATGTTTTAATAAGCGTAAAGGCGTTGCTGATTCTTTTAATGATCCTGTGAAGCAGGTTATTGGTAAATGCTAAGAAGAGGTGAATAAATATAAAACCCATGCGAACAAACACAATGTAGTAGAATGCAAAGGAACCTGACGGTACTGTAAGGTCCCAGTCCCTTACTTGAACTTGAGATACCATATCAGTCTAATCAGATAACCCAAGCGGAGACTTCTTGATCAAGCAGCACTTTATTTGATCAAATTAAGCAGCTGGGTGGCCAACAATCTGGAACGCTGGCAGACTTATGTCCAGAAATGCCACGCATTAGAAAGTTGGTGGCATTGCTTTATAAACTTTGTTAGTCAATGAAAATCAGACAATAGAGCCATTACATCATAAGAAAGACATCAATCACTCCCGTACACTCTCTTATTCCCCCCTTCAGTATATCGCATCCATGTACATGTTTCCCAAGCTTGCATGAAATTTCTCTGGTGCAAAAGCTGATTACAAAAACCAAGAAAGCAACAGTTAGACTAAACAATTTCCCTTTGTTCCAGAACTTTTCAGTACTGAATGTGCTTTCTGTAGATGCTGGCTAGTATTTCTGCAAGCAATTCCAAGGCAAATGCAAACAAACATAGTAATGGGGGAAAAAAATACAGGTAGTCTTCTATTTACAACCATTTGTTTAATGACTGCTCAAAGTTACAATGGCACTAAAAAAAATGACTTATGACCAGTTCTCACACTTCTGACTGTTGCAGCATCTCCACAAGTCACATGATCAAACTGGGTGCTTGGCAACCGGCATTTACCGTGTTTCCCCGAAAATAAAACCTACCGCAAAAATAAGCCCTAGCTTGATTTTTTGGGGTGGGCTTTATATAAGCCCTAACCCAAAAATAAGTCCTACTTATTTCCTAAGACACGAGGTTGGGGGGAGGGGGAAGCTGCGCCACATGCCCCACATCCGCTTACCATATCACAGGGC